GCTGCTCTGAGGAACTCCAAGATTTTCAAGCAAATTTGGAAAAAAAAAAAAAAAAAAAGCATCAGTAGCAGTTGTGAGTGTTTCAGGAAACAACTCGTTGGTGTCTGCTCTCACCAGTGAGAGAAAAATCAACCCGATAGGATTACAGCCTGCTTAAATCCGGGAATAAAGGATGTTTGAAGTTCTTCTCTATTAACAAAACCCCTGGAGTTTTTTTCTTGATATTGTTGTCAGGGAAATGTTGAGGTTGGAGATATCCGCCCCGTGCGTATTCCGGCTCGCCTGTCAGATGGGAGAGCTGGAAGAAATGTGTGTGGGAGCCTTTTCCTAGGGCTGAGACCACTGGATGAGGCAAATTCCAGGTAAGCTGAAGAGTGGCCACCCATAGTGATGCCCCTTGGCCGAAGAAGAAATGTGATTCTTCAGGGTTACCTACTGACAAAATAGAAGAATTGCATTTAAAACACAAAGCGAGGAAAATGTTCAATTAATTCTTGTGAAAATCTGTTGGTTCTATGTTTATTGTTCTGATTGACTTAAAAACTGAGCTGCATCTGTGTTATTCTAATTAAGCAGCTCAGAGCTTCTGCAGTGTCGTCGTGAGCATCTTGTCATGCAGTCGAACTCTGGAAAACAGTTTGAAGGCTCCTGAGACCAAAACCTGTATTTTTATTGCTTTTGGCTGCTGATGTTTGTGGAAGTTGGAGCAATGACCTGATAATTTGCCAATCACCATGAAACATGCGCTGTTAAACTTCTCTCCCCGGTGTCCCACGTGAAATCTCAGCTGCTTTAGATGCTTTGTGAAATACAACTGAGCTTTTTAATTTATGGGGAGTTGTGATAGACCTGGGAAGCTGATGCTGCTGGCTTTCAGACAGATGAAACTGGGTTTTTTTCAGTGCAGAAAGATTGAACTTCTTGCACTTTGTATTAGCTAGTGCCTATGAGAACCAAGCCAATTTGCTGAGCCAACTCCAGGGCTTGCAGCATTTGTTTGTTTTAAAGTAGTGCTGGCCAGAAAACAAAGATCCTGTAATACTACTGTAGCGAGGCCTTGGGTTTCCTTACCTTTAGTTACGAAACCTTGGAAAACTTTTTCTACTGGAATTAAAAACTGTTGAGAGACAGAAATTCATCTTCTGTGGACAACAAACGCCCACGGAAGAGCCACCGCCTGCTACTGCTGCTGCAGGTCCTCATCAGCAATTCTGCTCTTCAAAGCTGACGTGGTTCCCTCAAAATAAGCTGGTTTCAGTAGATCGGTGCACTTTTTTTTCCCACTCCCTTTCAAATCCAGCACCCAGGAGGACTCAGAGAGATTTCTGACCTGCCTGAAGCAGAGAAGGACAAGTCCCTGTGAAGCTGTTCCTGGTGCAGGGAGGCTGGAGCAAGGTTAAAGGCAAGAAAAAGACTCCTCCTGGCAAAATTAAGCCTCAAGGTGTATTTAATGAGATTAAAGTTCCCTGGTTGCCCTCTCTTTCTCTCTTCCTGTCCTATTTAATTTCCAGCTGAGCTCCCTTCCCAAGCCATGACCTCACTGGAGCCACTGCTGGGTTGGAGAGGAGGCTGTGCCCCTGTGGCACCCACAGGTGACAGGGTGCACCCCCAGGGTGTCTGAAGGTCACCTGCTGTGCTGGATCCTCCTTCTCCCAGCAGGATCTGGTGCCCCAGGGACACAGAACACCCAGGAGTGCAGCAGGGCTTCAGGCATGGCCACAGCCCCAGGATGAGGCACGGAGCACTCCAGCATTCAGGACCTGCCCTCTTGCCCGTGGCTGTTTTGTCATGAGTCAGTAATTTGGAGCAGAGGCATAATTTGTTACTATTTCTTCTCCCCAGCCCTTGTCTCAGTCCCTGCCCTCCTCACAGCTCTGCCCAGATGCTGTGATGAAGCTGCTGACCCATTTCTGGGACCTTTCCCCTGATTTCCAGCATGGCTGGGGAAGGATCTGTGTCAGCAGAGATGCTGCTCATGCTTCTCCTATGTGGTGCAGATGCCCAAGGGAGGTGGGCATGGAGGATTCACCCTGCAGGGCCAGCCCAGGGCTGGGCCATCAGCCACCAGCCCAGGTCCTGTGCTGCAGCCTTGGAGCAGAGGAGAAATCAGGATTTGGAGACAATTTCCTTTACCTGGCACATGAAAGGAGGAGGCAGTGAAGGAGATATCAGTTGGACTCCCATCCCCTCTGCCAAGGGGCACACAGGGTGCTCCTGGGCTCTTCCCACCTCCCTCCTGCTAAGGGATGCCCTTGGATGAGACTTTCAAATCTGCTCTTCCCCACCCCATCATTCCCTGAACCCTTTTGGAAAGCTGGGACCTGTGCAGCCCCCAGGGCTGTGCCTGGCTCAGGACTGAGCCCCTGGCGTGGTGAATCCTTGGCAGAGGCTGGAGGAACCCAGACACAGCAGCAGCAGCCTGCCAGGTGCCCTGCCCAGCCCTGCCAGGGCTGTGGGATCCCTGCTGGCACTGGCATGTGCCACCACTCACTCCAGACCTGAGGGCACCTGGGAGGGGCAGAAGCTGTCCTGGGGAGCTGCAGATGCTCTCCTGGGGCATCCCCCTTCCCAGGGATGCTGTCCCTGTGTCCCATTAGCCCCTGGCACTGCTGAAGGAGAACCCATCACTGAAGGGTATTTTTAACATCACCTTGGTAAAATGTAAAGGCTCCAAGTCTGTTGGCAGACAGAGAGCTATTCTTCTCGTTCTGATGAAGAAACTATTTCCTTGTACATCTGGTTCATATTTTTCTTTAGGTTTCTGCCAGAAACAATTCTGAAAACAAAACGCAGAGCCGAGTGGAGTGAATGTATACATTCCTGAAGGATTCCTTCACCACTCCTCTCCGACCCAAACCTACCAGTCCTCTTCACAAACCTTCTCTTTTTTTTTTTTTCCTTTTCATTTTTCATTTCTTTTTAATTAGTTTTCTTTTCAAAATGTGGAAACATATGGCCTGATCAGCTCTGGAACACTGCTGCCTGCATCATATATAACGATCCACATTTAGAAAATAATTACAGTGAATAGGACGAGAAAATACTCCATCACAGAAATTTTTTAATTTTTTTTTCTTTTTCTAATTGTTTAAGCCTATTATCTCTCCAGTCAGATTTGTCTGGAAAGCCTTATTAATGACTGTGTGACACGAGCCTCACGCTGGGGCCTTGTGGCTCAGAGATGTGTTTTTCTTCAAAACCCAGGTTTCAGGCTAGAAAAGGGGAAGCAGCACCAGTGGAGTTTGAGGCCACGCTGGGCTGCACACATCCTGCTTTGCTCCACTGCCACAAACAAAGGTGGGCAGCTAGCCAGGGGGGCTTTGCTGCTGCAAACCTGGGTGGGTACGGCTGTGAAAAAAGATTTTAAAAAGGGGGGAAAAACTCCAAAAGGAGAGTGATATCCCCGATGCAGCCTACCTAATTGAGAGGGAGGGCTGGGGAGGTCACGGGAGGTCACAGGTGGGCGCACCCGGGGGCTGGCTGTGCCACCTGTGAGATGGATGGCACCCACGGTGTTGTCATAGCACCACACTCCCCTCTGGAGCCTCTGCTGAAGGAGCTGGGAGCCGCCAGCTCTGCCTAACTGGGAGCAGAGGCAATGTGCTAAGGGAGAAACGTGCAGCCCCAAATGATTTCTGTTGCTGGTGGGAGGAGTGCAGCTGCCCTGTGACAGCCAGTCTCCCTCCCGAGGTGTCGAGGGATGCCTGGGCTGGAGGAGCACGTGTTGTGCAGGTGATGCCATGGAAATGTTTGAAAACCTTTTATTGGGGCAGGTTTGGGTTGTGAGAAAGAAATCAGCCTCAGGAGTAGGACCCCCTTTACCTCCTCCACAATATCTCCAGGTTTTCCTCGCTGGCTCAGCATTGGGATAGAAGAGATGAGTGGCTGGGACACGACCTGCAAACCACTCCGTATGTCTTGCCTTGCTCTTAAACCCCTGTATAAATGTTTATTTAAATGCTGTGGAAGGGCAGGGAGTCCTGTTTGCAGAGAAATGGGCTGGCTCTGGAGGTGGGGACACCTTTGCTCGGGGGCTGTGTGATGTGCCCTGTGGGACAAGAGGAGGGCTGTGAAGCAGAGCCTGCTCCTTCCCTGCAGAGAGCTGCCTGCTTTCACTCCAGTAATTGCACGCTTGGAAACGCTCCTGCTAAAAGACCAAAATGACTGATTACAAAAATTGGAAAGGATTAAAATCTCTAAAACAATGCAAAGGGAAGAAAATAGATGAACTAGCGAGGGAATGGGCTTATCGCTTCTTGAGCAAACAAACAAGTGAAAGCTAATTTTCTGAGCCAGCAAATGAATGATTAATGAACCGAGGCACGATTAACCCTTCATCAGGAGCTCACCTCCTCGGGTGACTGCTCTGCACAGCTATCGCTCTGCTTCACACTGGAATAAAGACACAGCTTGATGGTCATAAATCTGTTGCTCAGGTTGTATTTCAAAGGGCTCTGGCGTAGCAGGTATACGTGGGGAAGGAAGAAAATATGGTTTAAAGATGTTCCAGATGTACAGTGGGATGAGATGTTGTTTCAAGAGCCACCCATTTTTGTGTCTTTCCCAGCACGGTAATAAACAAGCCCCCTTGACAAAGGCACAACATATTTTGAAATATGGACTTGTCTTTTCACCGCATTTTTTAAAATGATTAATTTGCCTTATATTAACTTAAAATGAGCTCATTAAAAGATTTCTTTTTTTCTTTGAAAGCGCTGCTCATTATATTATCATTTTAAGTAATTAAATCAGAATAAATGGCTCTGTGAAGCTATTTTAATGTAACATCTAATTATATCTGACCTAGACACTGAACTATAATCATTAACTACATGAACTGTGTAATGTTCTGCAGACTCTTTAATAATTTATACGGGCTGGATTCAGCTGCGTGGAGTTGCAAGCTGAAGTGGTTGGATGTTGTGCACCTGTAGTGGCGTGGCACAGCTGATGGGAGTTTGCTTCTCAGGCAGTTTCCAGCCTTGCCTTGGCTCTGGGAAGTTTTTCCTGAGAAGCTGTGCAGGCCACAGGCTTGGCTGGACCTGGCTGGGGTTGCTTCTCCTTTATTGTGTGTACAGAGATGGGGCACACGTGTGGAGTGATGTTTTCCTCTGTTGGATGCTCTAGTCAAGGTAATATATTTATACAATATATTCAAACTGTATTAGATTGTGATTTAGATGATTTCACGTGAGCTATGGGAAGTTTTGGGTTTGCTGTGTTGTGTTCTTGCTGTGTCTCCTACAGAGGCTTTGTCTGTTCTTCCATTCCAAGCAATTTTTTCTGATCTGTTTGCATACAGCTTCCAGACTCATACTCCCTGAAAGACTCATTCAAGTTGAGCTTATTCCTGGAAGTAAGTGTGTTTGGGGAAGGAAAAATTGGCTTGTGGGAGTTTTAACCTTTCCTTCCTCAAGGAAAAAGAAAGGGGCTGGGTGCTGCCATGGCAGTAGATGTTCCATCCATCTTCCCTGCCCCGCCATGGGCTGGGTGCCTTTTGGCAAAGGAACAGATGGACCATGTTGTAGCGCATCCAAAAATTGCTGGTGCCACCTATTGGTGGAAAACTGCAGATTAAAACGTGATTAATGCGTGTTATTATGCCCTCTGCTTATCTCTGCCCAGCTGGCAGGTGGGTCGGACCAGTTCTGCTGTTAGTTTTCATCTCGGTAACTGCTGGCAAACATTGCTGGCATTCCCCGTGTATCTTGGGTGTGATTTGCAAACAGGAGGCTTTGCTGCGGGCAGGCAGCTGCCAGGGGACACGTGCAGCCCCAGGGGTGCCTCTGAGGACAGGGCAGGCAGGCAGCCCTGCAGTGGAGGGCTCAGAAAAGCCAGGCTGGTGTCAATGGAGCTGCTGGATGTGACAGTGAATCCACTGGGCTTTGAGAAATTTTGGGTATTCCTGCAGAAATTTTGGGTATTCCATGCCGGGGGAGAGGTGGTGTGGTGATGCACAGCAGCCTCAGGGGCCCCACAGGCAGGGCACAGAGATGGATTATCTCTCCAGCCACTGAGCTGAGCAGGATGCAGAGGCTTTGCTGCAGAGCCTCTGCTCCGTGGACTTTTCCAGCCTCAGGGGGTTTTCCAGCCTTGCAGAGGAGGTGAGGGAAAGCTGAATCCCTGCCTAGGGCCCTGCTTCCTCCTGCCTTGTTGCAGGGGACCTTTAGCCAAGGCCTGATAGCCACAAAAAGCCCTGCTGGCCTCCTGCCTGGTGTGCTTAAGCAGTTTTATAGCTGTCATATAGAGCAGCCCTATATTAGCAGCAGGTTTAGTACTCCCAGGAAACATCCAGCCACAGCACTGACATCATGGACTAAAGGCTCCAAGGGTTCACTTGCTTAAGTGGCTATTTGTAATAGAGTCTTTTAATAAAATCTCATTAAAGGAGAGCTCCTGCCCGAGCCTGGTTCCTGAGATTGCTGGAACACAGCACCAAGACCAGCCTCGAGCTGCTGCAAGAGCAGGGAGAGTGAAAGGGGCCCTGCAAGGCTCTAGTGAGGGCTGGAGAGATGTGCTTGGTGCTCATCCGTGCTGCCCCTGTCTGGATCCAGAGCAGTAAAAGAGCCCTGCAGACTGCAGAGCAAAGGATGAGCCGTGCAGAGGGAAAGGGAGAGAGTTCCTCCCAGCTTTTGAACCACCCTGCCCAGGAAGGACTGGTGGGAGACAAGAAGGGCTCAGACTTGTCTTCAGTCTTCCCTCCCCACCACAAGCTCAGAAATGCTGATTTTCTCAGCCCCTAAGCACTGGGCAGAGGATTCAGGCTGCTCCTGAGTGGAGACTCTGTGCTCTGGTGCTCCCAGGACTTGCTTTATGTTTCCTGTTGCAGTTTGGCTGAACCATTTTGCTGTGTGCTTGAAGAATAATCTGAATTCCAGGGAAGAGTTTTCTAAACACTTGTCTCCTCTGTAATTTTACTGTCATGTCATAGAGAGGAGCTGCTTGAAAGACTTCAGGAAAGAAATTATTCTCTACTTCGATCCTAGGGGGTTTTTTGCTGTTTTTATTTTTTTTTAAATACCTAAAAAAATTACCCTTTGATGTGAAAATTATATGCACTTAGAGATATGCTAATAAGAAAATGATTGGAGAAATGTTGAACATGGAGAACAGCTCATTTCCGGGCTCTTTCCTTCACCACCTGCACCCCTGACAACCTCAGTCCCACCCTTCCACATGCACATCTCTCTCTAAAGCTGTTCTAAAAGCTGCTCTGATTTTCTGGGGGTTCATAAGCAGATCCTTTGTTTTAATTTCTTTTTAAAAATTATTTTTCAAGTGAAGGGCTTCATGCCCATTCTGTGGTTTGCCAGAAGGATGGTGGTAAAATTCCTGCTCGGGAGATGCTGAAGGCCCAGCAGTGCTTTCCCAGTCTGGACTTGGGCTGTGCCCTGATCCCAAACCTTCTCAGTAGATCCCTGTGCTCTTTAGTGGTCCCCAGCCTCCCTTCCTTGGGCGGGGATTAAAAAGCTGCTGCAGGATGAATGCAAGCTGCCTGTGCTGGCCCCTGATTTGGAGGGGATACAGCATGCTCTGGTGTCTGCTTCCTTTCAGAGATGTCTTGCCTGTGGTTCTTTACATATGTGAAATGAGATAAGCCAGGGGGAAAAAAGGATGGTTGGAGAGTGGCAGCCAGGATTGCATCTTCTTGTTTTCTTCCCTTGCTGTCTTCAAAAGCAGAATTTTAGAGTCAACAAAGGCAGAGCTGGTATCATCACAGCTGAGGGTGGGTTTGTTTACAGCAGGTGCCCTGCTGCGTGCCTGGGGTGCTGCTGCAGATGGGAAAAGCTCTTCCAGAGAGCCTGAAAAGCAGGAGATGAGCCCGGTCTGTGGAGTGGGATGGTGGCTTCCGAGGGCTGAGGTTTAATCTGCCTCTGCTGTGGTGTCCCCAGCTCCTGCTGGCATCACTGCTGATGTCAGGGCAGCAGCTCCTCAGGCCAGGGTGGTGCTGGGTGCCATTAACACAGACATCAGAGCAACTGCTGCTCTTCCTCCAGAGACCAGCACGGTGAGACCTCCCAGCGACAGCTCCTGCCCGTGCTGGCAGCCTGCAAGGGGCAGGGAAGGCATCCTGCCACTGATTAGCTCCGACTCCCCTGCTGGGGAATAGCCTGACTTTCTCTATTAGTGGTTTTCCAGGTGGAATTCTTGCTAGATAATATGGCTGTGAGGTGTTGGCATGAGGCAGAGGCTGCTGCTGCAGTCTTACCTGGTGTTGTCATTGCTCCTGTGATCTCCTGGCGTGTTCCTTTCCTGGCTCACCCCTCAGGGAGCCCTCCTGCACCCCTGTGGCTGCCCCAGATGCCCTTCCTGATTGTGGGGGTGATCAGCACATCCCAGCTTCCTGGAAATCCATGTCCTTGTGTTGTCTTTCCCCTGCTGTTGGAATCTGGGGTGAGGGGGGAATACTCTTCTTGTGTCTTCCTTTTCCTGCCTTTTTTTTTTTATATGAACATCTGTTGAACCACAGGTAGTCATGTCAGGGAAAAAAAAACCCTCTTCAAAAGAACCCTGATTTATTGAATTTCCAGCTGTTTCACAGGGCTGATCCAAATCAACTGGTTGCATTAATTAATTAAAGGAACTTTGATTTCAAGGGTCCCTAGAGTCTATACCTGAATTCCATGAAAGCATGCAAATCCCATGTAGTAAATGTTGCCTTTGCTCACGTATTATTTAGTTCCATGTTTTTTCTAATTGAGAAAGGCATTAAAAACACCTATGAAATGTAAAATATACATTATAAGAAGTGGCACCTTTGGCACCAAAGGTACTGAATATAGGGGTGCACATGCAGCCACCACATCTGCTCCAAGGAAAGCTGCTGGGCACTGATCAATGCTCAGAGTTACATTACACACTCATCTGAATCCAGCAAAATCTGCTATTTTGGGGTGGAGACACTCCTCATGCCTGGTTTCCTTTGGCAACTTGCTCCACGCTGGATTTTGTTTCTGGCAGAGCACAGTGGGCTCTCTGTTTGCTCAGGCCCTGGTCCTGCAGACACTTCAGATCCTCAGCCTCCAGCCTGGGCTTTGCTCTGCATCAGTGTTAAACAAATCAGTTCATGGAAAACTTGCATCTGGATTTGAGGGCTTGGCTATAGGCAAAAATTTCCTGCTTTCAGACCTAAGTTCAAATCCCTTGGAGACACAGGGGCAAACTTTTAACCTTGACAATGGGCAGAGGAACAGGTGAAATTTCCCTGCTAACAAGGCCAACTTTGGATGGGCTGGGCCTGTTTGGGAGGTAAATAACATCCCAATTATCTACATATACATACATATATATATATATATCAGGCATTGCAGAAAGAAGCCCTATTTATGAAGCCTTATATTCAAGAAATCCATTGTAACAAGCTCTGACTTTCCCATAAATGTGCCAGACTATGAAGTAACTTGCATAGGGCTGCACCAGTGCTTTTGGAAGGTTGCTGTTACCTGTCACGTGGAAGCAGTTTTGATCCTAGGATCTCAGGTTTCATCTGGGAATGGACATATTCTGGCTCTAGAGAGGCTGTTAGAGCAAAGGCATTTTAAATGGCAAAGATGTGTGTGTTGTGAATGCATTTAAAACTGCAGGTACTTGGAGCCTGGTACCTGTGCAGCAATGAATCACAATAAATAAATGCAAATGTCCAGAAGAACAAAAGGAACATTAAACAGATAACAAACGCTTCACCGGGAAACAGCACGGCTTCAGAGTCCATAAATAAAACCCCCTAATCTAATAAATGTTCTGGAGATAACTGGAAAAAATACGGAAATGGTCACTTGGTTGTGAGGGAGCATATTTCACTTCTGCCTAGCAAAAGGACTCTCAGCCCGTGCAGTTGAGCTGATTCATGGCCCTCTGTAATGTCCTGGTTATCCCCAGTCGCAGCAGGTTTCATGCAGCAAGCACTCCACTATGTCAACGTCGAGTTAATATTTTAAGGACAACGGAGAACAACCAGACTGTAGTTTGCTGATGGGCTTTTTCCTTCCACCCCCACCCCCCCTTCCGTGTTTTTAGGAAATGGGCTGCTGATAAGGGAAGGAGCTGCACAGGCAGGACTGCCTGGCGCGCTCATCGCTGGGAAGATGCGACTTCCTCTGAACTCTCAGGAAGAGAGGAGGTGAGTCATGGTGGATGGAGGGGCTGAACGTGTGCCAGGAGGGAGCAAACAGCACCAGCTCCAGTGGGACTCCAGTAAAAATGCTGGGCCAAGCTGGTGTAAAAGCCTGGTGAAGCTCTGACGTGTGCGGAAGAATTGGGGAGCTTTGGTTTAAGCACTCCTTTTATTGCGGGAGCTCCTTCTCATCTTCCTGCTTGTAGCCAGCACAGTCTGCATCCCTGCATTTCAGAAAACCCCCAGAATCCCTGGTGTGTGCTGGGACAGGTGACAACAGCCTGTTTCCAGCTCAGAGGGCTGTGTGTGCTCTGCTGCCTTCGCCGTTCCCCCCTTCCTCTCAGGAGTGACTTCATCTGGTGCTGGTGTCACCCTGGCCATGGAGCACATCTCCATCAGGGAGAAACACCGAAGCTGCTCATGGGCTTCCTCATCCCAAATCTGCCAGAAGCCCTGTGGGCTGGTGGCTGCTGCTGAGGAAGGAGGTGTTGGGTGTTTTGTTTGGGTTCTTCTCATGCTGAGCTGAAGAAGGCTGAATTTGGTGTGTGGTCTGTGGATTTCCATGAGGAAATGCTCTCAGTGATCTGTATCTGTTCTGGCCCTGGTGTTTATCCACGGAAGGATGGTCCCTGGTGTCTCCTTAGGATGTGTTTAAGTTGTTTGAACAGCAGCATGCAGTGCAAAGCACCTGGTGCCAAATCTGCCATCCCTGAGCTGTAAGGGCCGTCCCTTCTGCTGCCAGCTTTGTGCTCCTTTCAAGGCAAAACTCACCTGAGAATGTGCCTGACTGAGTTATTAGAGGGGAAAAACAGCAGAAAGGGGTGTGGGGTGTGTGCCAGGAGCACACTGTGCACCTACAGGTGTGTCCCCCGCTCTGGGGCCAGAGGAGCCTTTGGGGACAGAGCCCTTTGGGGGTGGCAGACACAGGACCTGCCTGGCAGCTTCTCCGTGCTACTGCTGAGATCCAAAGCTGCCTGTGTGTAACACTCACGCTGTGCTCTCGAGTTAGCTGTGTCTGAACTGAAGAGACTCCTCTGAAGTCTATATTAAGCACATTAAAAGCTGAAACAGGCTGCTCGGGCGGGTGCTTTGATAGATTTTCTGACTGTGTGTAGCGTAACGTTACAGCAAGGAGAAAACTCCCAGCCTTGGCTGATTCTCCCCCTGTGCTCTGAGGGTGGCTTTTTGCTGTGAGTGATGGGGATGGTGAGGCAAGGTTGTGCAGACACCGAGCTGCAGTGCTCTGTGTGAATGCAAAAACTTCCATTAACCCCTCTGGATCACCTGCATCAGCAGAAGATCCCTGGCTCCTGCTGTCCCTGGGCAGCTTGGAGGAAGAGTATGGTTGGATATAAAAATTACAATTACAGATCCCTTTATTCATTGTGGTCAGTTAATGCTGGTTATCATATTTGTAGATATTTTGAATTTATTTTGGTAGAAGTGAGACAGAATCCATACAGCTTGCATTTCTCCAAGTGGTGGTCCCAGAGCATGGCAGTGTGTACCTGTGCAGATGCAATTTAGAATGCTAATGGTGACTTAGATGGGGCTTTAAAAGTACTCAGGGGAATAAAGCCTTTTTTTCCTTAAAGAACTCAAACACAAACAAAACAATGTGATTCCAAAGCAGCAATGATTTTCCAGGGCTGTTTTTCACAGTTCAAGCACCGGTGGGGTTGGGGAGGAGTTTGGGATCTGGGCACCTGGAAAATGCATCGGCACAGAGATGAGCTGAGAAAAGTGAGAAATTGTGAGGTGTTGGTTTTGGCAGGGCTGCCCTGTGCTCTGGGGGCTTTTCAGAGCCTGTATTTCCATTTTCTTTTGGGAGGCCTTGGCTGGGTGAGTACCTTACCCCCAAAACACCGTTGTGTGTGCAGCCTGTGGCCAGGGCTACAGAGACCTGCAGATGTGGATGTGTGGAAAATGCTCAGTAAACAACCAGAGGTTTTAGGTGGAGGATTTTAGGAGCATCACATCCTGTTATCACACACTTATCACCTTCTGCTGGTGTGGTCGTGCAGGTTTCACCCTGTCAGCGGCTGCTGGCTGGAGCAGGGATGTTTTATGGTACATGGGTGACCAGGCAGCTCCATCCATGGGAAGTTCACAGCTCCCTGCCCTGAAATCCGTGTCCATGTAGCCCCAGAACACCTCCATGTGTGTGATATGGGATACAGGACCTGCTTTATCTTCTGCCTCTGTCAGAAGGTCCTTTCCCCCTTCACTCACCATCCCCAATCCCGTGTTTAGCTCTTGGCTTTCCCAGCCTTTCAGCGTCCAAGTGATAACATCTGGTCTAGCACCGAAAGGGGAATAGCACTTGTAGGAGATCATCGGGAAAAAGATGAAATTCTGGGTTAGAGTTGGAGCCTGAAGTTAATTCCCCGCTTTCAAATAGTGTTTTCTGAGTAGGTGATAATCACTGGGCCTTTCCCGATTAATTAAAGGGCTTTACAAAGCAAATGATGTGGAGAATATGCAGCCTGGGAGAGCAGTGGGTAGGAGAGGCTGTTGGTGTCCGTGTGATTTTCATCTGGTCTGACAGTCTGCCTTGGTGGGAGGAAAAGGGGAAGGAAAGTTCACTCCTGGGAAACAGCCTGGGCCTTTCCCCAGCTGATTTTGGGGCAGGAAAAGGGATTTGTAAGGTGGAAAGTGGGTGAGACACTAAATCCCTGGTTAACTGGGAGAGATTGAGCCTCCAGTGCAGAAGCAAACCACAGTCCTGCTGCTCCTGCCAGTGGGAGGTAAGGTTGTGTCACCATCAAATATTCATGTGTGACCTCCAGGTGATGCTTCAGAAATGTACACCGGTGCTCTTCATGTTTCTTTAAAATCCGTGGGAGCTTTGCCACTGAATCCTATAAGAAACAGACAATATTCCAAGATTGCTGATTTGAAAGCTTTTAATCAGCAGCACCGCAAATTGAAAAAAAAAAGTAAATTCAAAGCTGTAACTGTTGCAAGATTCAAACTTGAAGAAACAGACAATATTCCAAGATTGCTGATTTGAAAGCTTTTAATCAGCAGCACTGCAAATTGAAAAAAAAATAAATTCAAAGCTGTAACTGTTGCAAGAATCAAACTTGGGTTTGAGGAGTTCTGGTGGTTCTGGCTCTGTGTGTAAGAAAAATTAGCTCAGATGAATTCTGAGCTTGCTCTCCATCGTGCCTTTTACCATCTCTGCTGTCTTTCTCCAGAGAGACTCAGCCCCTTGAACTGAGGGTCTTCCTGGGTGTAATTTTAGCTCTTTAAACTTCCAACTTCACTGCTAACTTTTTACTCTTTGACTTGATAGTCTTAGAGGTCTTTTCCAACCTAAATGATTCTACAATTTTATGTGCTAAATGTTGAAGGTTTGGAGGTTTAATTGAGAAGGGAGCCTGCCTGCAAGGAGACTTTTGTAAGAAGAAAACTTTATTTCCCAGGATAGGATCCCATTGCCCACCTTCAATCTTTTATCCACGTTTGGGACCTGGGTGAATATGGCAGCACTGGTAATTAGTGTGCAGTGGCCAAGGAGGGTTGTTTGACACGAAGGTTTCACATTAAGACTGCAGGAAGTGCGCCTGGACTCTCAGCATGGCTGTGATCAGATCCATATGAGGACAGGGATATCAAATTCCCCAGCTCCCCACAAAAATGTTGTGATTAATCACGCTGAGAGTTGCAATTAGACCAAATAAAAGCAGCATGTTAAAGAAGCTAAGAAGGAGGTGATGTGAATGTTATTAACGAGCAGGAGGCTTTGGCTTTGTGGAGCTCGCTTGAAATGTGTCAAACAAATAGAACCGAGATAAATGTAAAATCAGCTGACTGCATATTACCCTGGAGGATTTGAAATGAGTGTTGGGGAGGGGAAGGAAGATCATAATTACCCAGAGGAAAAGGGCTAAATCTATGGAGTGGAATAGTTATTCATGTTAATTGTGTCATCATTGCACAGATGCCGAGGGCGCTGCGCTGCGAGGCTCTGCGTGCACGCTGCACCAGGGATGGTTAATGGGGTGGGCACTTGCAGACCCCTTAAAGGAGATGGATCCATCAGGCCCCTTCTAAATGCTCATCCCTGCTAGAGGAGAGGGGTACAGGGGTGTGGGAGTTGAGGAGGGGGGACCCTCTGCTATTAGTACAGCACCATGTTTGCAGAAAATATCCCAAACTTGGCTTGTCCTGTTTTCTGCTGCTCTTCAGAAGCTTTTCCATCAGCAGAGTGATTATCATTGATTAAGATCTATTGTGGCTTAATTAAGCTATCATATGGCACCTTTTCTGCAGCTTACTTCAACTGACAGCAATGCTTAATCTGGCTTCTTTGCCTCTTCTTCCCTTGGTTATAAACCTGGTATTGGGTGGATTTTATGATGGTTCTTTCCAGCATGTTTTATGGCTCTACAGCTTTCCTTATCTGTTTTTGTGCCGTGTGCTTGCAGAGATTTATGGGCTGAAGTACTAGATGCAGAGCAGGAAAGGGGGAAACAGACCTAAACCCATTAAAACCCTGGAATCCAAGCATTGGAGGCACTAAGTCTCTTAAAGAAATGAGAGGAAAGCCTGAACTAGGACATGTATGTGAAATCCCTGTGCTCCGGCCTCTGGAAAGAGCAGGCTGGGATTGTCATCCATGTGCTGTGGTTCAGGCTGGGGAAATCAGAAAACTGGCAGTAGGGACTGTGCAGGAGCTGCTCACTGTCAGTGCAGTCACTGGCTCCAGGTGTGCTTGCAGAGTTGGGTTTTACAGGGTGCATTTAGGGGATGTGCCTGCTGGGGGAGAGTTGGTGATGGAAACTGAAGGGACTCTGAGCAGCCTGGTCCAGTGAAAGTTGTCCCCACCCATGACTGAGGCATTGAAACAAGGTGATCCTCAAGGGCCCTTCCAACCCAAACCATTCTGTGACTTTCTGTGGGCCTAGACCCATCCCTTTGTGCTGAGTTCACCAGGCTGAAGTTCAGTCTTGGACAAAATATCAAGGCTTTACCTGTGTGCACACCACTGTCTGATAGAAGAAATGGCTTCTGGATGGACTCTCCAGAGGAACAAACCTGCTCTGGCTTTGAGGATGAGCTCTGCTGCTGCCCTGCCTCTGTCACTGCTCAGTGCTGGCCCTCAGGAAACTCCTCTCCTGCTTTGACATCCCCTTTTCCTCAGCCACGTGAGGCTTCCTCCTGCTTCCTCAGCCTCAAGGTCAAGTCTGCTCCTCTTGGTCTAGTGGGTTTTTTGTCATATTTATTAGGTGTTTGCATGTGTCTACCACGCAGCCTTTGAAGCTGTCCTCTCCCCTACCTGAGTCTGGTTCATTCACCTGCACAGTTATTGGTTGTATTTGGGTATTATCTGAGGTTGAATGCTGTAGTTGTTAATTTGGGCTTTAAAAATAAACTCAGATATTGCAGGGAAGCATGGCCTGAGTACATTGGCTCATGACCCCTTCCCAGCCAGGCTGGGCTGGCAGATGTCCCTTAACTGCAGAGAACAAGTTGTGTGCACCGTTATCCTGCCATAAAAACAAAGGACTCTTCTTTCCAAGTGATAAAGCCTGGGGTTCGCAGTTTCTAGCTGAAACAGACCAACAACTTTCAGCCTTTTTATTGCACTTCTTCAAAACTCTTGCAATTCTCACTACTCAGCATTTTATTGCAGTGTCCTGTGCTGGTGACCTGGGCCACTGCTGCTCTTTGTGTCCCCTGACAGAGCCCACAAGGTGCTCTGGTGTTTATCTTGCACTGACTTCATCCAGCTTGTCAAGTGTCTCCAATCTGCTTTCCAGTGCCTCCTCCTTATGGTTGCAGCCACTTACCGCTTAAATATCTCCCAAATGCTCATTTTGAGTAAAGCAGTGCTAATCTAGAGCAGATGCCTCAGTGATCTGGGAGAAGGTTGCTCGTGGCTGTGGAGCTGTCATCGCTCCGCTCGCAGGCGCGTCTCCCTCGCTCATGTGCTGCCCACCTGGAGCTGCTGTGACACACCCGGGGCTTCCACCTCCCAAACCCAACCTCTTTGTTCTGCAGCTCATGAGATTTCTTCCCATGATCCAGGGCCTTGCACGTGCGTGGGGGCCACACAGACCCATCTCCCCAGGTCTCTGTGTGAGCACCGGTGCAAACCTGGCTCCTTTCTGCCTGGGAAATGTGCCATGACACGGCTCTGCTGCCTGTGTCTGCAGCAGCACTGGCTGGCTGCTTTGCTGACCCTCATCTAAACAGAGCTGATCTCCAGCTGACGCTGCCTGACCCATCTCTCAACCCCTCAAACCTGAAGAAGCTACAATTTCTTGCGTGTCCCTTAGCTTTTTACCTCTTCCTCAGAGTTCAGCTTCTGGAATGGTCCTTCCTTGCCTGTGCAGCTCTGGGGATCGTTGGCACAAGTGAAATTTCAGCCAGGGCCAAGGAACAGATCTTGGGGAAGGTGGGAAGCCACACAGTACCCAGTGTAACAGCATGGGAACAGCTTTTCAAAAGATGCAGGTGGGAGTCCAGGCCCTCCAGGGCCAGGAGCAAATGATGGATATTGAAAGCTGCTCTTTACAAAATGAGCTGGCTTTTATTTATTCTTGTAGCTGCTGTAAGTCAAGGGAAAGGCCTTGAGTTTTTAATCTATATATTGGTTTGCTCTGCTGCCTTGTGCAGACCCATAAGGAGGGTGGGAACTTGCTCCCTGCTCCATTCTGATGGCTCTGCTGTCTCAGCAATGATTACATTCTTCCCTGAAGAAAGCAGAGGAAGTAGAAGAAGCTTTATAGGGAGAAGAGGCTTTATATGGAAACATCTCTTCCCACTCTCCTGTTAATATCCATTGAACTCAGGGGGGGAAATTGGATGCAAAGATGTCTCAGAACTGTAAGAGACAATTTGAATCTTTCATGTCAGAATTATGGTTTTTGTCTTGCATGAACATCTGTGATACTCCTGAATATGCTGTGTCTCTCCTGAGAACAGCAGTGTAGTGACATCTCAGGTGAGTGCTGATATCAAGAGCTGTGGGTAGATATTGTTTTATCAGATGTTTCCTTTGCAGGCAGAAGTCCAAGAAAAGCCAGGCTTTTGCAATGCAAGCAGAGGTCTGAGCCTGTCCCAGCTCCAGGTCCAGCAGGACTCGGGGGAACCTTAAACTATGAAGGGCAGTGACACAACACTGCTGTTGGAATCCAGTCCCCAGTGGCATGCCTGAAACTCTCCTGGGAAACTTCCACATCCCACAAAATCAAAGAAGGTCAAACCCTGCCTGGAAGCAACATAACTTCATTATTCCAAGTTCACAGGTGATAAATTTGGTGTCCTTGGCCAGATGTGAGATATATTCAGAGTCATCTTTACCTAAAGAAACAGTGGTGCTCTTGTTCTGGGCAGATCCTCAGGTCATGCCCTCCTTTGCAGCCTTCTGGTCCAGCAGCTGTTCATGCCTGTGGCCCCTTGGTCATGGGTGTCATCTCCACTGTGAATGCAGCTCCTTGATGAGAGCTAGGAAGTGTCAAATGAGATTTCAGTGCAGGGAACAAAAACATGCAGCTGGAAAATAAGTCAGGAGGACTTTTCACCAAGGAAAAGGCTCTCTGTGGCTGGGTCTCCTGCCCAGCTCCAAGCTGCTGAGCTTCCTTGGCATCACCCTCCAACCCTCTCTCCCCTCTGTGCTGATTTGCAGCCCTGTTACATCTTTGTACACATGATCTGATGTGGCCAGAGATCCCCCAGCAGCCTTGGTTTTCCTCTGACCCATCATATGGCAGAAATTTAAGATGGCTTAAGTAGATTTTGTTTATTTATTCTGCACCTCAGCCATCAGAGACTGCCAGTGCCAGGGTGTGAATTACAGTAAAATAAATAAATGCACTAATTGCTGCTGCTTTATATTGGAAATAATTCTTGCTTATGAAAACATCTCAAAAGGTGTAGAAAGGAGACACATCTGCTCCAGACCAGGCAAATCAACTGTCTTAATGAACCATTAACACAGGCTGTCAAAAAACCCACTCTGAACCAAGGTGAAGTTCCCACATTGGTCTCTGAGCCTGGGGTGAAGCTCATGATGTTCATCTTATTGCAAGCACAGGACTGTTGGTGGAACAGTGTGAACAGAAATAGAGGAAGAGCAAAGCAAGGGAGAGGTAACTCAAGTTTATGCTGTGAAGGAATTCACACCCACTGGAGTTGTATGCATGGCTGTAACCACGTTCTGCTGCAGCCCCCGAGCCAAAAAATTGACAAAAAAAGAAAGGATGGGATGTGGGGAGGAGGGGAAATGTTAATCACCATCTTTCCTTTCCTATAAATGTGTTAATGGTTTAGTAAGTGTTTCCAAAAATGTCTGTGTGGGATTAAAATAGAAGCCATGGCCAAGTTTGAAATGAGCTCTTGGATGGGGAGCAGACAGGGGGGTAAATCCTGGTGATCCCATCCAAGGCACAGGGAAATGTCCAGCACAGGAGGATGGAGAGGGTGAAGTGTTTGTGCTGGGAACTTTCTGTTGGCTCTTTGGGGAGCTTGGTCATCCCAGCAAGTGGGAACAGTGCTCCACATAATCAAAAAGTACCACCTACCAAAGCATGTGAGGGTTGCCATGGAAATCAGGAGTTGTTACTGAAAAAGCAGGAAAATCATGAATGATCTGGAAAACCATGGATTTTTGGAGCTTCCTGTCCTCTGCTATGTAAAACCCCAGCCCAGACTGTTGAATTCCTTTCTGGGAGGATTTTGCCCCTGCTGCTGCAGCTGCACAGGACAGCAGGTTGTACATGCATTTATGGGGGCACATAACCCACGCTCTTCATTGCAGCTCTGGCCCACTGACTGCTCCAGAGGATGGGTAGGAACTGAAACCAGGGATGGAAATTACCTGGATGGAAACCTCTGCTGTGGGTCACAGCAGGGTGTGACAAGCCCCAGGCAGAAAAGCCCCCAAATTATCCATGAGTATCTCATCTGGAAGACTTGTCCAGACCTGTTCCCAGGGAAGAGAGTGAACCAGGAGAGAGGATCAGAAAGCTGGGGACAGACTCCATAACTCACCAGTGGCTGGTGGAGGATCCCCTCCATGAAAAGGGTGGGAGGGGGTGTAACTTGCCAGAGGATCTCGGAAAACACTCTTGTTCCAGTATCCACAACATTCAGAGACTGACAGCCATGGTGAGCAGGAAAGACTCAGGAACTGGCTCCAGGACAGATCAGATGGAAGCCATTCTTAAACGAACGTAATGATGTATGGAAGTAAAACATTATTTTGGAACTAAAAGTTTAAATATATATAACAGTAACGAAGGCAGGAGATCTGCGTTGGGAATGCCAGCACACTTGCTGCTTCCAAGGTTTTATTTTAAAGTCAGGATACTGGAAATGCTGTTCAGCATGTTTCCAATGAGCTGCTAGGCCCCCTGGAAGTGCTAAGGCCATGTTTACTGAGAAACTGCATGGTAGGTCCTGCTGGAGGTTATTTGGGAGCTACTGACAGCCACAGGGTTTCACTTTGGTGGCTGAACTCTGTGCAAAGCCATCCAAGGACAGAGCCTGTAGGATGAAGAGGTTTCTCCTTTCTGGGCAATAATGGGAGCAAAAGCCCTGGAAGGACTCACTGCACCTGCAGCTGCCCCGCCTCTGTCAGTGCCCCTGGGACAGCAGTGTCCCCATTCTGCTCCTTCCCAGGGACTCTCTTGCCTTCCTTGGCACTGCAGAAGAGTGTCCCAGCCCCTCTCAGCCCCTCACTGCTTCTGCTGCAGCAGGTCAGAGGTGTTTCTGGGTAAGACACACCTACAGGGATGGATCCACTGCTCCCACCATGCTGCTGGGACGTTTTTGTTATTGTTGTGATTAACTTTCTGCTGTTGACTTCCGTCTGCGGGCTTGTAAACTCAAGCTGTCCATTTGCTACAGGTCTCAAAGCATCATCTTACAAGGAGGGAAAGAATTTTCATTTATAATCCATGAGACCTATTCAGGGATGGGCTGTCCTCCCCCTCCCTGTGCCAATAGACCTCTAAGTGAACAAACAAATGTCTGGAAATACAGGCAATTTAGCTCGGAAGAGATATCATCAGTGGGGTTCAGAGGTTAATGGGCATGGAGGATTTATAACAACCCAGGCCTATAAAAAAAAAAGGATGGGGGAGAAAAAAGGAAGAGGAGAAAAGAAAAAAAGGAGTGGGTAGTAATCTAGTTGACATCTATTGTTCTTTGTGTAACAGCTCATCTGTATTCTATCTGGTCCAGAGTATTGCAAAGAGAATTTAAAAACACATGTGTGCAAACACACACACACATCTATCTCTCTATATATATATATGTGCACATATAAACTGAAATATAATGAGGGAAAAAGCCCCTGTAAGTTTGAACCAACAACAGCAACCCATATATCTTTATTTGCTGCCAACATCCAAGTGCTGAACTCTCAAGGAGCCTGGATCTCTGCCATCATCTGTCCGTGTCTGATCTCTTTGGTAAATACGACGGCTGCCAAGAATGAGGCAAACGAAAAGCGCTCGCAGATTAGGGAGAAACACATGGCAGCCACTGACCTGCTGAAATCATAAAATACGTCATGAAGTAAGGAAAGAGGGGAAACAAATCATCCTCTCAGGGACTGCCCATCTGCTCACATAAAGCCACAATCATTATTGCAAATAAATACGTGCAGACCGGAGAAGTCTGGGAATAATTTGGGGGAGGTGGGTACCTTTGTGTGGTGTGTGTGTGTGTTTGGAACCCTCTGGAAATTTTCCTACATAAACAAGGTGAGATCATCAGCCAGAAATAGATACCTATCAATTAATTATGTAGGGAGCAAATCCTTATTTTATGGGCACAATTAGGGAAAAAAAAATTCCAAGACAGGATGGGGCCATAGCGTTGGAAAGGGACCCCTGTGGAAATTGCAGGTCCATGTTTTTCCAATGAAGGATGGATTAGTATTTATCATCTGAAAGACTCTGCAGTGTGAATAGTGGCTGTGTTTTTGCTATGAAGTGAAAGGATACACATCTTGCTCTGCCTTTTTATTCCCTTGGTGTTCCACAGGGATGTATCCAGGTATCAGTTTCAATGCCAAGAGTCCTGCTTGGGTTGGTTTTGGGCTAGATTTTTTTGTGGGGTTTTTTTTTGGTTTTTTAGGATTTAACAGATTAAATTTGACTGGAGCCTGCTAGAAGCCTGGTGTAGTACATGTGTCTTCCTAAAATCCAGGATTCCAGGGTGAATAGGGGCTGATTCAAACATGCAGGAGGAGAAGGCTGGAAACAGGAGCAGGTTAAGAAGCTGGTTATCTCTTTTTCTTCCCCTTTGTTCTTTTCCACCAAACTGTGCTGAAAACTTTTACTTTGAGAGTTATCCTGTTTGAAGGTATTCCATTCCTACCCAAGACAGAGTTGCAGGTACAAGGTATTTTGTAACTCAGGAATGTTTTCCTAAATATGCACACAAGGGTGTGCAGCATGTCCAGGATGGACTGAGCCTGCAGTGGGTCTGTGATTTCCCTCATGTTCCCACCACAGGACTCAAACCACGTGTTTTGGGTGAGGAAAAAGACATTTAAGGATGGGATTTCCTATGAGGGAAACCTGTGAGGGTGTCCTGCTTTGGCATCCAAAGGTCTCCATCAGAAATCCCACCCTCAAATGTTTTTTCTTCACTCAAAACATGTGGTTTGAGTCCTGTGGTGGGAACATGAGGGGAATGTGTTCTGTGTGTATGCCATGGGAGCCATATGGTTGTGTCTGGGGAAATCAAATAAATGGATTTTGTGGGTGTTTAGCCAAGTGTCTTTCTGAAATGCATGGATCAGACAAAGGAAAATTTCAAAACCACCAGAACAGAGAGAAAAGGGTGGTTACAGGTTTATTCTTTCCCATCTGGGTAAGCAGCTGAGCACGTGGTGTTGGCATCTCCAAACTCCCCTGGGCCTGCTGAGTGTCTGTACACACATGTGGACAGACCTGAGAGGTGATGGCAGAAATGCTCACCTGAGATTGCTCTGTCCTGGTGGTTTGTTTGCCAGGCTGGGCTCTGGTCTGGTTTCCTGGCTGTGCTCTGGTTTGGTTACCAGGCTGTGCTCTGGTTTGGTTACCAGGTTGTGATCATGGTTTGGTTACCAGGCTGTGCTCTGGTTTGGTTACCAGGCTGTGCTCTGGTTTGGTTACCAGGTTGTGATCATGGTTTGGTTACCAGGCTGTGCTCTGGTTTGGTTACCAGGCTGTTCTCATGGTTTGGTTCCCTGGCTGTGTGCAGGTTGTGCCTCAGGGTGCATTGGTGCTGCCCAGGAGGTGTCTGAAAGCCCAGGGCAGCTGCAGCCCTGTGTGAGGTGTAGCCACCACTGAGCTGCAAATCCAGCTGCTCCTGCCACACCTGGCCAGTGGTTCTGGTTGGGGATCATGTGCTCAGAGCTGTTTGAACTAGGGAAAACACCAAACCACTCTGAACAGGCTTTTTCATGATGCACTACAGACCTCCACATGCAGGAACAAACCTGTGCACTCCAACCTCTGCTTGATCTAAACCAAAGTCCTAATTTTACCATTCAGTGATGCTAAAATCTCAGGTTTTGAGAGGTTACCTGTTTCTGGATGTTCAGCAGAGCTCTCAAGAGCCCATGTGAAATCTGGGGCAGGATGAGAAGGAACTGGCCAGCTGCCCTGGGCATCCTGCCAGCTCTGCCCAGTCCACTTGCTACCCTTTGAGTGGTGATGTGAAGGAGCAGTAAAATGCTTTAAGCCTTAGGGACTAAAAAACCCTACAAATTCATAACCTTCCCAGTCTAATTTCAGGGTTTCAAGAGTTAAAACAGCAGCAGTTATACCAAGAGAGACTTCACTACAAGATGACTTAGCAGAGTCAGGAAGAAAATGAGGAAAAATTCCCCAGCTCTGAGCACAGGCTGGCTCTGTGACCCCTATTTTCTGGGAAAGCCAGCAGGGTAGTGGAATCTTGTCACAATGTGCTAATGTATAGGTTCCTCCCCAATATGTAAAAATTGAAGATTTCACGCCTGGTGCCAAGCAGCTCTAAAAGAGGGGGTTCCCATCTCTGTTGGCTACTGCTCTTGTTATGCTGTCGTGCCTTTAAAACTGCATGAAGGATCCCAGCTTTCTGCCTTCTCCGAATTTATTTTTAATATTACTCAGCTTTCCACTCTTTGCCTTTATCTCCAGATTCCTCTGGGAGTTTTTTTTTCAGTGGGTAAATCCCAGTGCAGGCCACAGTGTCCCCCTCTGCAGGAGATAACCTGCTGCAGTGGGTACCCAGCCATTCTCCTGCCTGATTATAAAACCAGAAGGTGTTTTAGTGTAATCTCCTGAGCATTTGTTAGCCTGTATTATTTCCCTCGGATTTATGATTATCTTTACACACTTTGCAATTATTTTCTGATCTTGTAATTCTCTTAGCTCCTCCTAACATCCAAGCTAACTTGATGAATTACATCTTTGCTTAACCCTTTGCCTGCTGTGGGCAAGGAAAGCTGGTGGTGTCCTCTTCCTCTCTTGTCCTACAGGACTGGAATTTCTGGCTTATATTTTTAGTAGATGGCTCTTTACCAGTATTTTTTAGTTTGTGGAATAGCAGAAATTAAATTTTTCTCTTTGACTTACTTCATGCCAAAATTTTTATCCTTCGTGACAATAGGAAACTAGATATATAACATGAGCTGCAATATGTCATCTTCAGAAAATAATGATCCAGCCTATTTATCATATTTTTAGTTTCCTCTTTATGGATCCCAGGGGGTGCTCTGTTTTGTTTTCCTTTGGTTTTTTGTCTTCGTTCCAAGAGCAGTGATGAAATGACATATCTTACTTATTCCCTCGAGATCCTGGGCTTGCATGCTTGCTGTGCTACAGAAGTTAAAGCTCCTCATTCCCTCAGGGAGTGTTGTCTCCCAGTTGCTCAAGCCTTCGTGGGGCTTTGTGCCAAACTGTGCTGGATAGCACGTTCCAGCTCTTGGAAAGCCAAGGATGGGGGTTAGAATGTTGGGATTTTGCTCCAGCCCCCCTCAGCCTTGCTCCTGAGGATGCTTTTCCCAGGAGCTGATACCTCAGGTGTTGGTTCCACCTTGCCCTCCCTTGCTGCTACAAAATCCAGCTGAGCTGGGGACCTCACCTGCCTTAAACACAATCCTGCTCTATGGTGAGAGCAAGGATTTGATCCCAGGAAGCCCTGCAGCTGCTTTCCCTCTGCTGCCTCCCAAAATGCCCTCCCAGTGCAGAAG